CCCAGGCCGGTTTCAAGAGCACTTCCTGGGACCAGAAAAGATAAAATGAAGTAGGCTTCGTGTATCTCTCCAACTTTGTGGTAAATTTCCGCGCATTTTCTTCTACCTGGGTAGAACAGAAGCAAGTGTTATCTTTCGTTCTGGATCTATCACTGCCATTCAATGTGCAAACATAATGGACTTCAGATGATGGTAATCATGTTTGATAATCTTATTGTGGTATCAGAGACTACATGAAGCATTTGAAGCTTGTGTATCCACTGTGAATATTGAAAGGAGAAAGGAAAAGACCCTGTAGTGGCAAAATTAATATTCTGAATAAAAAGAAATTCAATATAAATCCTTATACAAATTTCTATTTTATATATTATAATATTAATATATATATTCATTAATAATAAATAAAGCTTTTTATTATTAATAAATTAAATTGATTCTTTTTGTAATCTATTTATTATTGAATTTTGATTAAAAAAAAGAAAATGAGGATCTTAAAAGGTTTTAGAGTTTTCAAGATTTTTGAATATTAAAGTTGAGGGAAAAATAAATGGAAAGGTATGTGTGTAGAAAATCAAAGAAATAAATAAAAACTAAAGAAGAGAAAAGGAATGAGTGTAGGAGCTAAGGGGTAGATAGGAGGTATTAGCTGAAAGTTTAAAAAGGAGTAAAATCCTTTTAGTAAATTATATTATATAAGGAAAACCTATAAAAAAGCTTTCAAGTGAAATCACAAGCTATATTATTATACTATGCAATACAGAATGTATTATATAAACAAGAATATAATTTGATTTCAATTTATATATAAATAAATTTGAATTCAATAAATAGAAGTATAATAGAAAGATTAATAATTCTTAATAGATTTTAATTAAAATATTTAAAAGAACTTTTTTATTCTTTTATTGAAATCTAATAAAAGATTAATTTAGAAGGAAAAAAAGAGAAAGAAAAGAGAGAAAGAATTGAAAAGCAAATAAAACCTAGAAACTTTCTATTTAATAGATAATTTGTTAGAAAAGGTGCTTATACCGCATATCACGTTATGCTGTATTAGGATTAGCCTGTATGTGACTCTATCGAGTTCATATATATATATTGTATCTTTATATAGAACTTAATAATATTAAGGCTTTTCCATTAACTTATATATAATCTTTTAACAGGTTATAAGCCTGGGTTCGCATAGTGCTAAGATTAGTCTTCTGAAGTTACTTGATTAATACTATGATAGACAATAGCGATTTCATCAAATCCGGAGGCCATTTATCAAGGTGCAGGTAAAGACTTATATTGTACCATAAGGGTAGAAGGGCTATAGAAGAGTGAGGCCCTATTTATAGGAAGCAGGGCACGCTAATAGTCTATGTTTGAGACACAAAGGCAATTACAGATTATGTAGTTGGCGCCGTAACAGTATTCTCCGCTCAAGGCGATTGGTTCACAATCGCAATACAAATTATCCTGAAATAACAAGATAACACTAGAATACTCTGATTTCCAATATCGAATTAAAATGAACCTTTTTAGGATTAGTAGTTAATTGATGGAGCTTTTTTGGATTTGCCTTAGTCTTGTTTCGAGGGTGCGCTTGGTGTAAGTATTAATAGAAGCTCAATAAGGTTAGGGGTAATAGGTCTTTTGAAATCTATCCAGGTGGGTAGGTTTGGCTTGCCTGGATTCGCTAAATGGAAGGCAATGATTACATTTTCCTGGTTGCAAAAGTCTTCGGCAGGTTGCTAAAATACTAGATGATGTTTCCATTTGACTTGATAATGAAATCCGTCCTCATTATGATAATCAAGGATTTCTTCGAATTCCTATTGTTCAGTTTCTTTGTGTGTTTTGTTATCCCTTTCGAGAATTCAGTTTTGATTTTTGTATAATTCAATAGTGTTGATGATATCTTGGCCTGGTAATCCTGGTGAGTGGTGGAGTGGTTGGAGTAGTGAGTTGTGAAATACTAGGAAAATCTTGAAACTAGCTAGGAGTTGGAGTAGATAGGTATGTTTATAAACTTTGAGAATCTTATAGAGGCTATCCTATTTGTTATCACCCTTTTTCATTAAACGATTGGTTTTTATATTCTTTGTATTCACTTATACTTTATCACTTTCCTTATATAGAAAAGCATCGGTGCAGGTTTTGTTAGTATAATCTTTGTATCTCTGAATTGATTGAGTTGTAAGTGCTTTTAATTTAGTTAAAATGAAATCAAATCGATTTGCAATCTTGTTGGCTTTAAGGAATTCTTGTTTTCTTTGATACGATAAATTCGGTGGGATAGGTATGAATGGCTTGATGCTGAGATGTGGGTGGAAACTGTAGTTAGCGAAGAACGGGGAGATGTTGGTAGTTTCTGATGTGGTGTTGTTTAATGCGAATTCTGCAAGTAGGAGCTAGTCAGGTTAATCATTCTGATGGAAGTTCATAAAGGTTTGAAGGTATTACTCGATTATAGTGTTGATTCTTTCTATTTAACCGTTGGACTCAGGATAGAATGAGGAAGATTGTTTCAAAGTGATTGATAAGTGTTCGGATAAGTACTTCCAAAACTTGGAGACGAATTGTGAGCTTCTGTTGGATATGATATTGTTGGGTGCGTTGTGTAGGTAGTAGATCTTTTCGACAAATCGATTTGCGAGCTTTTCTGTAGACAGTCCTACAACTGGTATGAAATGATGTATTTTAATCAAGCGGTAAACGATTGTGATGATATGTTGGTATTTCTTTTTGTGGCGTTTATTGATTGATAGCGGTATGATATAGTCGATAGAGATATCGGATTAGGGGCGGAACGGTACTGGCAGGGGTTCAAGGAATCCGGGTGCGGCGAGGTGGGAAGCCTTTGTTCGAAAACAGAGTTGGCAAGCTTATACAAATATCTTGATTTCCCTTGATATATTAGGCCACCAATATGTATGGGAGACAAGGTCGATAGTTTTGATACAGTTGGGATATCCGACTGGTCTGGTTAAATGTGTTCGGTATATGATTTGTGTGCAAAGTTCGGTGGAGGGGGGAATAAAGAGGTGGTTACGATAAAAGATCTTATCATTTATTAGTCTATAATTCTGTAATGCAATTCGAAGGTTTTTTCGGATGCTTAGTGGCCAATGATGAGTAGAGGGGTTTTGAAGTGTTGTTTGTATGATGTTAATTAGTTTGGATGATTTGTATGCTTTATCGATGAGGTTGTTGATTAGCTTATCGGTGTTGGGGATAATTATGTTTATCGGGGCTATGGTTAGGTTTAAATTATTGTTTACTTATTGAATGATATTTTTGAATGCAGTGGTGTTGAATACTTTTTCTAAGAGGATTGTCTGTAAGCGGTTTTTAATTTGGTTGTTGTTAGGATTGGTGTGTGCTAAGCAATCTTCTGCTTTGCAACTCAAAGTGTTGGGGTGAATGGTTTTGTGGCTAGGTCGATATATAATATGAAAGTTAAATTCGGACAAGAATTCAGTTTATTTAGTTTGTTGTTGGTTTAATATCTTTATTGATGTAAAATATTCGAGGTTTTTATGGTTAGTAATGATTTCGAATGGCTTTTGAACCCTGTATAATTCCGATCTCCATTCTTTTAGTGATTTTATAATGGCTAGGAGTTCCTTATTATAAATCTCATAATTACATTTGGCGGTGCTATATTTTGATAAGAAATATGCTACCGAACGTAGGCGTCCTTCATCATTATATTATGAAAGAACACCTTTTGCGGTTTAATCAAAAGTATTGGTTTTTATGATTGTGTAGTGATGGTGATCAAATATAGTGAGAACCGGGGTAGAGAAGAAAGCGGTTTTCAATGTTTTAAAGGTATCTTCTTAATCAGGGGTCTAATTCCATATCTTTTCCTTTTTTAGGAGGCGATTAAAGGATTCTGTGATCTTAAAAAAGTTGCGAATGAAACGTTAGTAAAAATTAGCGAATCCGAGGAAACGCTGGAGGTCTTTGAGCTTAGTTAGCGATTTCTAGTTGAGTATAGTATTGACTTTTTCCGGGTCTATTTTTATATTTTCTGGAGTGATAATCAAGCTGAGGTACTTAGTTCTTTTTGTTTCGAACTTGTATTTGTCGATATCGATTTGTAGTTCAGTATCAATTAATTATTGGATAATCTTGTGGATATGCTTTCTATAATCTGTAATGTTTTTGGAGTAGATCAGAATATTGTCCAAATATACTGTGCAAGTTCTATCTAGAAGATCAAAAAGGACATGGTTGATGTAGTTCTGGAATGAGGTAGGTGCGTTGTAGAGTCCGAAGAGCATTATTAATGATTCGAATAGACCGAAATAAGTGGTGAAAGTGGTTTTCTATTTGTGGTCTTCCGTAATTCATAGTTTGTTGAAGGTAGTGATAATATCGAGTTTGGTGTAGATTTTGGTGTGGCAAAGGGTATCAAGGGTTTCTTTAATCAATGGTAGGGGGTATCGGTTCTTGATGGTAACGTTGTTTAGCCCTCGGTAGTCTTAACAAATTCGAACGCTTTCTTCAGGTTTGGCAGTTAGGAGGAGTGGGGCAGCTGATCGGGAGTGAGATTTTCGAATGAATCCTTTGCTCAAGTTGTCGTTGAGCTATTTGTGAACGACTTGAAACTCGGCTGGGGATATTGGGTGGCCTTTGTTATATGGTGATTCTTTGCTTGGTGTAATCTCGATTTTGTGGTTCCAGGAGTGTTGCGGTGGAAGCTTATTGGCAAGGGAGGGTAGGAATCCTGGATATAGGTTGTGAAGCCAGGGAGGTAGTTTATCTTAGATCTTTGTTGTGAAAGGAATAGATCGATTTGTTTTTTCCATAAACTTATTGATATTGTTATCTATTAAGTTATGGTGTAATTGAATAGTATTTTCTGTTATTATGTGGTGTAGCTTGTAAGTTTTATCCAATTTGTTTTAGGACACTTTTGTGATATAAGTATCCTGGCTCTTGTAGAATTATATGAAGCTATTGGTTGTAAAGAACTTTATATCTTGTATCTCGGAACGGATACTTCACAGGATATTGAACAACTCGTTTGGGGGGTCTGGTGACATCAGTGTATGTAGTGGGGGTAGAACGTTTTGGTTTTGTGGTGATCTTCTGTGTATTCTGGAGCTGGTAATGATTCGAGCTAGAACTGCTTTTAGGGTTGATTGGTTTGGGATTATCTTAGCTTGGGTGTTTGATTTATTGCTGATATAGTGAGTGTAGTATAGATTTGATTTGAGTAAAGCTTTGAAATTGGTGATGTTAAGGTTTCTTTGGGTATTTGAGGTTTTGATAGATTCGAGGATTGTGGATTGGTTTTGGGGTGGTAATAAGGTGTTTTCGAAGCTTTCATTGGTGATTTCTTCTATAGAGGCTGGTTTTGGGATAAGCTTTCGTAAGGGTGGTTTAGGGTCGACTGGTACGGCAGCAAAGTTATCTTGTGGTCATTAGCGATATTGGGGACAGTGGTTATTATAGAGTTAGCGGGGTAGCAATATCTTGAGCAATATGTAGATGTAAATTTGAGTATCATTGCTGACTAATCGATGGTGGGATTGTGGTGTTGGAGTTATGGGAGATTGAGGATTATAGGGTCTACGGTTGATAAAGTGGTAATGTAGAATAAACTGATCTTTTTGTGATTGTTGATTTGTATATCTAGAAGTGCATATTGAAAAAGGATATTGGAGGGTTTTCTATTGGCTAGGAGTAAGTAATGGGTATAGGGGAGAGAGTGTGTAGGTATATGAAGCCTGGAGACAACTTTTCTATCAATAAAGTTATAACCCGTGGCTCTGCTATCTATAAGGCTAATAAGTGGGATAATCATATTAGGTGTAAGGGAGATTTCCATTGAGATTTTAAGAGATTTGCTATTCATTGATTTAAGATACAAAGGATCCTTAGATATAATTGATTTTCTAATCTATAAAGGTAAATTCCCTACAAAGGATCTCGATTCGCGATTGTGAATCGAGATTAATCTTTTAATATACCTGGCTGGGGAATTGAGCTTTCGCTCTCCTTCGAGTAAATGGATCCCTCAATGTATCCTCCTAGATCAATCTCTTGAGCAAGGCTAGAGGGGGTTGGAAAGGTATAGTATAATAGTATAACTGAGAAATGATTAGTAGACGAAAACGAATTCTGGTATAAAGAGATAGCAATATTGCGATAGGGTCCGGAGTTTTGGTATTGATTGACTATAGAGAAACGATTGATGTGAGGAGCATATTTCGCATTAGCATTAGTATTAACATTAGTATTGTATTTTGCATTGTTGGCTTGTTTCTCTTTGCAATTGCTTTTAATATAGCCGGGCTTCTTGTAATAGAGGTAGAGGCTGAGTTCAATACATTGCTCCCGAGTATAACGAGATGGGGGGCGCTAACCTTGGCGAACAGCATCCAATTGCATAAGGTCGCTAAAGATATCCAATATAGGAGGAGTTGTAATAGTAGCTTGCTTTCTATTGTGAAGTTTCGATTAATTACAATTGAAATTAGTACCTTGGTTCTTACATTGATTATCGAGGTGAGTCTTTTCTTTTAAGTTATTGTAGATATCTTGTTACCAGATTGTTTATGTATCAATATCAACAGCAAAGGGTTTATTGGGGCAATTGATTGAAGCGTTGATCAATTCCTATAAGATCTTGAGTTTGAAATCAACAACTTGTTGTTCGACGGTTTTCTTGTATTTAATAGTGAGCTGTTTGAATTTGGTGATGAAGTTATCAAATGGGATCTTCTTCATTTTATACTTATTGTAATCCATGGAGGCCTTATATGAAAAATCAAGAGTTTGATATTGCTTGTTCAACTTATGTTAGATGTTTGTTATGGTGCGTCATTCGAGAGGCTAAAGATTGGAATCATGGGGGTTATTAGTGATTATATTAAAGTGTATCTAATTGTTTGTATAAGCAGGGCCAGAAAGTAAGTTGGCGAGGAATGTAATCTTTTGGAACTCCAATTCATTTTTGTAATCTGTAGTCAAGTAATAATTGATTGCACTGCAGAACACTATATATTAGTTCTAACACTTTGTAATATCTTACTCATTATTACTAAACTTCTCGGGGGTAGTGAGGTACTTTCAACAGGACGGGACTTACAGGTTATTACAAATGGCAATTTTCAATATCTCAATTGTATCTTTCAATTCGATGATCTTTGATTGGGCATCGGCGGCTTAGACTTTCGCTGCGGCGGTTTGGGCTTGTAATGAACTTGTGATTGATTCGATTGATTCAAATACAGTTTGTATAGCTACGAAATGTATAGTGTTTGGATCGTTGAACAAATCTATAAACGAAGAGACATTAGTTTCAGCAGAGTTGAAAACATAATTCAAGAAAAGGAATTATAGGGATAGATTAGGTGCAAGTACTTAATCGGCCATCTTCAGAACACTCCTGTAATTGCAAAATAACCTTGCAGAGTTCCTAAGTAATAGCGGCTAGAGTGTACGGCGGGTCAGCGATGAATATAATCAGCGCAATCGGGATATAACTTTGGTGGGATTTAATTAAAATAAAGCTATAATAGCTTTTATGAAGATGGTATAAACTATTAAAGTGCAGGTAAAAACTTATATTATACTATAAGAGTAGAAGGGCTATGGAAGAGTGAGGCCCTACTTATAGGAAGCAGAGCATGCTAATAGTCTATGCCTGAGGTACGAAGGCAACTACAGATCATGTAGTTGGCGCCGTGACACCATTGTCTTTGTAAATATAATCAAATCCAAAAGATATCCAGGTGGTATCTAGCCCAATACAATTAAATAATTAAAGGAGTATGGCTCCGCTTAGTAAATGAATCTGGCTTTAATATCATCATAAAATTCCGGTATTCTGTGTGGTATTATAAAGTGCATAGTATTATCACAATAAAAACTGTAATAAATACTCAAGTATGTGGCACCAAAGCGATCCAGTCTGCAAGGTTGAAGACAATGGAAACTATAATAAATACTCAGGTGCATAGCACCACAACAATCCAATCTATAGAATTGAAGATGGTGAAGATTATACGAAATAACTTAAATGCGTAGTACTACAATAATCCAATCTATAGGGTTGAAGAGAGCAATGAAGTTCTGGCAGATGATTACTATTCACTTTTATCTTCTTTTGATAACTCGAGAATTCTAGTTATAATACGATTCCCTCGATTTCTTATCTTTCGATTCTTTTCTTTATTTCGATTCTTATAAGCTTTATATTGATAGTAATAATGTAATATAAGTAATCAATAATACTTTACGAATCAATTAAACTTTATACAATTGAGGGTTATTTATAGAAAACCTTCAAGTTGAGAATACTTTGAATATAGTTTATAAAGAAGCTACGAAATCCATTTAATTTAATAAAGATTTTCTTTATTTCAGAAATTTTCCTATTACCCCCCCCCATTTCTTTAATAGTTTTCTGATTATTTATACCTACAATCTGATAAGTGTAATGATTATTGGATTATTGGTTTATTTAATGATAGTTTTTTTTTTATAATGTTTAATTTATTTCGCTTACCAATTCCGTCATTTTATGATATTTCAACTCTCAATTTTATCTCCTTTCGATAAGCGATTGAATTTTACTTGTATTCTACTTGTATACAATTATTTTGATTCTCTCCTAGTCTCCTTCAAAGGGATCTTCGTTTTTCTTTTCAATCACTATTTTTATACGATTTCGATTTCGATTTTCTATGTCGATAATAGCTACATTAGCGATCGAGAGAGAGGGAGAGTATATAGGAAGTCAAAGGGTCTATAGGGACCTGAAGGTATTGAGTGTAGAAAGCTGGAGGTCCTAAAGGGAATTGGAGACAATCCGAAACTATATATGGAGGAGGAGCGGATAACTATGGTAGTAGGAGAACATATATTACTATACTTAGGGGAATACTCTGGTGTTCTATTATATAGAAGATAGTCTTATTATCTTCTATACTCCTTATAGTAGAGATTAGCAAGACCAAGGTGATCAAGGGTATCACTGTTAGTTTTGTATCTCCTTTTAGATATGTTCAAGAGGGAGAGGAAGAGTTGTAGGATATACTTTATGGGGGAGTGCCCTGGCGTTCCACTATATAGGAGAGATATACGATATCTCCTATACCCTTGTAGAGGAGAGTAAGGATCAAGGGATCCTATATGATCAGGGTGATTATATAGAAGACTGTGTCCCAGCTTCTTTATTAAGAGGGAAGAACTATAAAGATACAGACTCTATAGGTTAATAGGTATTGTATCACTAATATAATCCCTATGCCCTTAAAGAAGTGTTTATACTAAGTATTGGGTAATCCTAGAGGAAACGATTTTCTTTAAAAAATTGATTAAAGATATTGGTTCCTGGAAAAGGTATTATTAGCGATTAAATACTTTCATGATTATATTACCTGCTGATCCGAGAGTGCTTCCTGGCGGTGTGTGAAATCTGATTCATTGATCCTATAACGGTTTTGATAACCACAATCTCAAAGCGCTTTCTGGCATCTGTTAGAATCAACTCGCTAGCTTCAAAGCACTTGTTAGTAACCCTCGAGATTCACCGAATGAGAGTGATCAAATACTGCATATATACCTATATGATATAGATCATACCGCTTAGCTTGATTGAGATCAATTATAGCCCCGATTTATAACATAACGCCCCATAGCTTTCGATAGGCTATATAGCTTCAGATATACGATATCAGTATGAAGGAGTGTTAGAAAAGGTGCTTATATTGTATATCACGCTATGCTGTATCGGGATTAGCCCGCATGTGACTCTGTTGAGTCCATATATATATATTGTATCTCTATGTAGAACTTAATAATATTAAGGCTTTTCCACCAACTCATATATGATCTTTTAACATAATTGTTGTTTTAAATTAAAACTTTTAATTAACCTTCTAGAATTCAAGAAATTCATTAAGAACTTATTAATTAAAATAAGCTTTGTAAGATATGAAGACTTAAATTGATTATATTAATATTTTAAAAATAATTTATTTAATATATAATGAAGATATTATAGAATTTACGGCAATTATAAAAGAATCACTTTGTTAATCATGGATTCTGTTATCACAGGGAGAACACCTCGTATCATTTTCACTTCGTCTGTCTTTTTACATATTCCTCTATTCTTATAAGCAAGGAGTATGGATTATACATCTTTCGAATGATGCTTATTGACCATACTCCATGGAGTAGTGAATCACATTGCAATATGGTTTATCAGCACATAAGTGATGACTTGAACCAGTATCAGACTAGGGGGACTTGGGAGGAGTAAAGAGTATTATCAGGGCGGGTGATTGGTATCGTATGTTTCTGGATATCTTGTGGATATTCATGGGAGTGAGTGATAGTCCACAAGTGCAGAACCAGGGAGAGAGTTTAGTGTGTGAGATTGAAGGATCGAATATAAAAGGAAATCAGAATAGAGATTCTCTCTTCTCTTCATACTTTGATATTATGGGCATCAAGAAAGAGACATGTGATAGCGAAAGAAAGGTAGCTGCTATCGGTGTGAATGGTTAGTACCCCAGTACAATATATACTTGCATGTGCCAAAGAACCATAACTTTCAGTAGTTGAACAAGTTGATTGTCATCATTTACTCTATTGACGTTTGTCATACCTCCTGCATGCAATTCTGTACAGCTGCAATTCATATACTGAGCAACTTAACCTAGTTTATGGCAGAACAAGAGAGGCGCGTGGATAATCTTTGCTGTCATTTGCTAGGGGACTTCTATATATATCTGGCAAGTGTGAAGGTTTGCTGAGCGGACAGGAAAGAAACGATGAGCAATACCACTCAAGGGTAACATGGGCACTATCGTCAAGATGACGACTTGCCTATGAGGAAAGCGGGCGCTGCGTATATTTCAGAGATAGATGGTATCTTTAATAACAGTCTGGGACGACACGAATGTCCTAAATAGAATCGACGGCAAGTCGTCGTTACTCTAAGACAGGAGCCCAGAGAGCTTTTGAGTATTATAGTTTTTATGGTCAAACCTTATATCATCTCACGGAAATTCTCGTCGTCATTCATTCATATATCTACACAAAATTTAGACGATGTGGCTGTGCAGCCAAAAGTCCCATTATATATATTGTAACCGGCTCAATCGTCAGAAAGTCTGGCAATCCTTGGGATTATGAAAGGGAGATGCAATTGTAGCAACCCGTCCCCATCCAGAAGCCTATGTCGGGTTTTCGGTTTAAAGTTAAGAGGATTGGGAATGAATATGAGAAGTACTATATATGTCAGATAATTGGCTTAAGCGTGGTGATCATGGGAGACTAGCGGGGCGAGTCCAGAGGGAATTGAGAAGAAATTGATGGTTTCAGTGAATATAGGTGCTATGAGACGATTTGGGGGGGGGGGGGGGGGGTTCAATGGCATGCCTTCTAACATTTCCTGGGTCTGAAACGGGTACAAAAGTGAATCATTCACTCAGATACCGCATATCGGCAGTTGTATGTTGTAGAGGCATGGGAAACTCTGTATTGTGCTCGGAATAGACAAATTTCATGGAGTAGGAAAGCCTATCCCTAGATCCCGTGAAATGGAGAGTGTGATGCCACTCTGCTAGGAAGGTTCTTCTTGTTGGGCCTGAAGATTCGGAAAGCACAAAGCTTCGTGATTTGCACTGCTTTTGACTGACAGCAGGTTGTCATCGTTGTCATTGTTTGTATAATTATGATCATGGAAGACAATACTCATTATTATGTCAACTGAGTTTTGCTTCTGCAAGAGA